CCACGCCGCTAGGGTGCACAACCTGCTTTCAACCACCGCAATCACCGGAAATCTCTCCCCGCATGTCAAATGGACCGGGACCAAGGGGGATACCTCCATGCTCCGCGTGTGGGGGTGCATGGTGCAGTACCGCCCGCCGACATCAACCATCGGCAAATTCGCCAGTCGCGCGCGCTGGGGAATCCACCTCGGCATCAGCCACGAGTACAAAGCGTGGATCGTGCTGGACCTCCTTAGTCAGAATACCGCCCATGCTCGCGACGTAATCTTCTACGAGCGCCTTCTCCTTGACCAATTCCGTCACGACGAGGAAACGAACGCGAATCGCGTTTACGCGAACGACGGGCACAGCTACGCAACACCCGAAGACGAAGCCGCTGCAGCAATACTGGAGCAGGATATAAGAGGCGAGTTCACATGGGAGGATCGGCGCAGCAGCGACGACGACGACGATTCCTCAGAAGGAGGAACGGGCGGAACTTGCGGAGCCAGCAGAAGCACAGCACCATCAGCGCCACCAGAACCAGAGAGTGATGACGACGATGTGCAGGAAGTCATCCCGCAACGTCGCCATGACAGCACCGTCTCAGGTCTGCAGCTACTCGGGCTTCACACTGCAACCTCGAAAGCGCCACGCGTCATCGAGCCTCGAAACCCGCGCGAAGCTCTCTCTGGACCACACAGCAAGGAGTGGCGCGAGGCAATGGACGCAGAGATTAAAGCGCTCGAGTCCCGAGACACCTGGGTGTTAGTCGACCGTGCGGCAATCAAAGGCACAAGAGTCCTCTCGGGCAAGTGGGTCTTCCGCGTGAAGACCGCAGCGGACGGAACGATCGAGCGCTTCAAGGCGCGCTGGGTGGTGCGCGGCTACGACCAGAGGCACGGGATTGACTTCGACCAGACGTTTGCTCCAGTCAGCCGTCATACCTCCGTTCGAATCCTGCTCGCTATCGCAGCTGCAAGGCACCTACCCCTCCGCCAGATTGACGTCAAGAACGCGTTCTTATACGCGCTAGTAGACGCCGTGATTTACGTGGAGCAGCCGCATACATACGGTGAAGGGGACTCGCGCGTGTGCCAACTGCGCAAGTCACTCTACGGGATCAAGCAAGCGCCGAGGTTGTGGCAGCAGTATCTACACAACATCCTGCTTGAAATCGGATTCAAGCAGATGCCGCACGATCCAGGGATGTACCGCCGCGACTTCCGGGGCGAATACATTCTTCTCACGGTTTACGTCGACGACCTGCTCTACACAGGCTCAAACAACGAGCTACTCGAGCAGTTCGAGAAAGCCTTGGCGGGGCGCGTCGACATCACATGCAACTACGAGGTGAAGCAGTTCTTAGGCCTCAACATCTCCTACGCGCCTGAGGCCATTCACCTCTCAGCGGCTAAGTACGCAGAGGAGTTAGGGAAGAGGTTCAACATTTCACCTGCACCTCTCTCAACTCCCTACCGAACCCCCGGACCGAACCACAAACCTGACAACAAGGCCCTATCCCCTGCTGGAATTCAGACTTACCAGCAGCAGCTGGGATGCCTGCTCTTCGCCTCTGTCACCTGCAGGCCAGATCTCTCCTACATCGCAAGCCAGCTGGCCCAGTACTCACGCAAACCAACGGCTGAGAACCTTCTGGATCTGCAGCGCGCACTGCAATTTCTCATTTCGACGCCCAAGATTGGGTTGTGCTACTCAACTGCACCAACCCCATCCTTCAATCTCATCGGCTACGTGGATGCCGATCATGTAGCAGATCCCGACAATCGACGGCCCAGGACTGGCTTTTTGTTCCGACTCGAACCAACGGGACCAATCTCCTGGAACTCGCAGAAGCAGGAGTTGGTTGCCCTGTCATCAGCCGAAGCGGAATTCATCGCAGCAACCGCAGCAGTTCGCGAAGGACTCTACTTACAGGAACTCCTGCTGGAGGCGAAAATCCCAGCTTCGCCCACCTTTCGTCTTCACTGCGACAACCAGAGCGCGATTCGGATCGCGAACAAACCTGGTTTCGTTAACCGCACCAAGCACATTGCGCTACGGTTTTTCTTCGTGAAGGACGAGGTGGACAAGGGCAAGGTCAACTTGACTTATTGCCCAACCGGTGACATGGCGGCAGATTTCCTTACCAAGCCACTGCCACGTCAGCAGTGCAGCACTGCTCCGAACTCAGCGGCGTGGTCAAACAGGTCAAGTCGAGCTACGGCCAGGAGTGAAGGGGGGTGTTACGAATAGTAATATTTGATTATTACTGTGCACTCCTCACCGCAGCAAAAGGAAGCATGCAGTATCGAGAGTGAACACGAAGAGTCAAAGTTGACTCGAAGCGTCAGACGGTTAAGGCGCATCTGGACCGTCGGAGCAGACGGCATCGGGCAGCTGCAGGCAGGATGGTTTCGGCGGGAACAGTTTCGCAACTGTACGCGCTGCACGGTTGGGAATGAACTTGAATAAGGGAATGTACCCCTTAGAGTACATGGCCAGCTAGGTCTCTTCGTCTTCCCTGTACTCATATTTATACTTGTTGTATTTGCATGTTTGATTCATCTCAAGCATTTTACATCCACTCTGCTATTGAGGTCAAGGGCCCACCAGCCTCATTTCTCTGTGCGAACCTTCCCGAGTAGATCCTGGGAACGATCAACTTCTGATCGTAGCTGTGAGTAGCAATTTTTTGTGATACGGTAGGCTGAGCATCGACAGTAGCTATTTTGTTATGATTCGTATACGTGACAGGCGGAGGTGGGACTCGGAATTTTTTGGGGTCCTTGCTGGTGAATCTGCCTCATTGCCTTCCTTCGAAAATGCCCCGAAGGTAGGCCCCAGCCACAATCAATTTTGGGGAATCCTGATGACGTGGTTCCACGTCATCGGCCCTTTCTGCGTGAAGACCTGTTCCGCCAGAAGCCTTTATTCGTCAAAGCTCATTCCTGTCCAGGAAAACAGAAGTGTATGAAATTAATAAGGAGGATACCCAATCGCTGTTTGAGAAAGGTGATTCCGCTCAACCCATGACTGTTGTTGAGATCGCCTTCCTGGGCTGTCCAAACTTCGAAGTGTGGACAGCGAAAAGTGCACTCGGCAAGTGTGAAGGCATTGGGGTTTGTGATGAGGTGGCGGGGGACGAATGAGGACGTCGCACGTGGGTTGAGCCCCCCAACGCGGTCAATCCCAACTGCATGCAGATTTTGCCAGGGAGTGGTTACGAATGCATACAATGAAACTATTGGAGGAAAAATGTCGACCCGTCGGGTAACCATGTGTCAGAGGTCCACTTGAGATCCCCGATTGATCCTAGGGAAGGGTTACAGGCACGTCGGCCTGGGGGGTGGTGGGCGCACTCATCCGCTACACAAACAAGCCCTTTTATCCTAGTGGTTAGTGACTGGGATTCTGACATGGTATCAGAGTGGAGGTCTCGGGTTCGAATCTCGGTGTGTGCACCTCGGGCATCCTAGTGCGGGGGGGTGTCAGAGGTCCACTGGAGATCCCCGATTGATCCTAGGGAAGGGTTACAGGCACGTCGGCCTGGGGGGTTATGGGCGCACTCACCCGCTACACAAACAAGCCCTTTTATCCCAGTGGTTAGTGGCTGGGATTCTGAAACCATGCGGTTACCCTTGTTGAGGATTGAGTCAGCTGTATGCATTCGCAAAATTGCACTGACATAGGTTGAAAGCCGTTGAAAAATACCCAACGTTTGAGCACGTAGGGGAATCTTTTGAGCTGCCACCAGGCCTCTGGATAGGATTTGAGATGCTCTTTTGCATCAGGCTAATCTTCTCCTTTTACTCTTTTTGTAAGGGTATGCAAAAACAAACACTCTTTTTTATAAGGGTGGTACACAACCTGTTTTGTTTCTGTCTACTACGTATCGCGTTGTGGTTGTGTAGTCGGTTGTATTGTACTGCCAAATAGAACTACGCAGGTTCGGCACTTGTACTTGTCAAACGACAACTACTGATGCGCACAAATTTTGCGATTGCGATGTCTTTTCCGAAGGAATCTGCTCATACCCTGTAAGAAGTTGCTAGGTATCGTAAGTATTGTTACACTATCGCACTCTGAAATATTAGGGTCATAAAATCAAACACTTTTTCTTGTAAGGGTCTAAACAAAATCCACTCTTGAAAAAAAGGGTGCAAACGGAAACCCACCCTTATAGTAAGGGTCATAAGGGTGATTTACCCTGATATCAAGAGGCCAGGCTGCCACGCTGGAACCAGTGCGGTGCTCTTTTGGGGGGCTGTCGTGTCCAAAGTTCGCAGGAAGGCCATCTGATTCGTGCGAGGAAGTGTCCAAAAAATGAAATTCGTGGTTCCTCGTAGACAGGGGTGGGTGGATGACATATTCCCCGGGTAAATGACGGTTCAACAATCTCCGATATAGGCACGTTCGAATGGAAAGCAATAATCGATGATGAAACTCTACGGCGTGATTTACGGAAACATAAATTAGGACCTAGGGTATGTTTACAGATACGCACGATTGAAGGTCTGCATTTTTTGTTATGATGAACAAGGCAATAACTAGCTACTCTCAGCCAGTCCCTGCACCCATATAAACGTTTTTTACGGTACCGGTATGTCTCAAAGTCTGATCGAAATAGAAGATGGCGGAAGAAAAGAGAGAAAGCTGGCTGGAATTCTGAATAGAACACAAGCAAGCTCAGAAGTTGATAAACATTCAGAGGCGCCGAAAGAACATCAAAGGGTGTCAACACCTCCACAGTGTTCTTTAGGCGCCTTTGAAGTGCGAACCTAGTCAAAGCTCACTTTCAGCTAAATGAAAACCTACGGGCATGTATGTTGCTGCCATGGACCCAATTACCCAGTTGCCCACAATATACCATTACCAGTAACCTGTCCTTTCCATGTCACACTGCACGGAGATACACCTTTGCATAAGCGCAGGTTGTGGCACTCTCACGCCATAATAGCAACCCAGCTACAGAGTCTCCCTGAAGAATTCTGGAAGGAAGACCATTTGAGACTTCCATTTACACACTCAAAAAGGACCACTGAACGTCTCTCCCGTCAGCAGAAGCATCTCCCACTGCAGCAACTGCCACAGCAGCAACCCGCGCACTGAGTCTCCCCGAAGCTGCCGAGAATGAACCTCGCTGCGACCTGCTGCTGTGACGCCGCGACAGTGAGCTGTTGCACGGAGAGAGCTTGCTGGCACATGGGGAGAGCTTGCTGGTAACCGCGCCGTGCCGACGCCACTGCTTCCGCTGCAGCACATCGGAAGCGAGCTTCCGGCAGGACTTGACCGTGCTGCACGTGGTTTTGATCGTGAGTGTTGCAAGTGGGAAGATGAAGGTAGAGGAGGGGTCGCAGGTGGTTGTGGAGCGGGTCTTAGGAGATGCAGCGGGTGCGACTGCGATAGCAGGTGAAGGCTTGATGGTAAAGGCAGTTGCAGGGGTGACAGTGCAAGCAGGGGCTGGTGGGATGGCGGAGGCAGCAGGCTTGGCGGTACTCCCAAAAGAAGTAGAGATGGAGAACGAGGATGGGAGGAAGGAGCTGTTGCAAACCCATGGGTCGCACAGAACCTCGTCAATGGACGGTCGGATCTGCGGGTCGGTTGCGAGCATCGAACGGATGAGATTCCTCGCTCGGCCTGAGATGATCCACCAGCAGGGGGAGTCCCAGTCCTTGCTTTCGTCAAACGCGCGGCGACCGTTCGCGAAAGTCGGCCATTTTCCCGACAGCATCGCGTACAGGGTTACACCAAGGCTCCAGATGTCAGCCGAGAAATCGTATGGTTTTCCCGCCATAACTTCCGGAGCCTCGTAAGGGAAGCTGCCTGCGTATCCGTCAGTCTTCTCCCCAGGTGCAAGCACCCTCGCGATGCCGAAATCCGCGAGCTTAGCAGTAAATTCGCAACCGCGACTCCTGATGTCGATAAATGAGACCTTGGGAGACACACTGGTGGGTGAAGCGCTTTCTGAGGGAACTTGCTGAATTTGCTTTAGGGGAGACGCTTTGGCGGGAAACAGGAGCACGTTGTCGGGCTTGACGTCGCGATGAATCACCCCGTTATAGTGGCACTGCTGTAAAGCCATGGCGACTCCTTTGAACAGCTCACGCGCCTCGTACTCCGGAATCCGTCCCTTCTGCTCTATCCGCGTTAGAAGATCACCGCCGGTAGCAAGCTCCATAACAAGAACCATCCCCTTCCCCTCCTCCCCGATAAAAACATCCTCGAGAGAAACAATATTTTCACACCCTTTCAGCAGAGAAAGCGCCGCTACTTCGCGCTCCGCGGCGTCCATTGCTCGCTTGCGCGCCGCGACCACCTTGCAGGCGAGTCGCCTGCCGGAAGCGCGCTCTGCGCATTCCGCAACAACGCCGAATTGTCCCTTTCCCAGGTCCTCCCTGACCTCGTACTTCTCAACGAAGGCGCTGAGGGAGTTGCGCTGCGCCATGGATGTTTTAGTAAACTCGGATAACCTAAATCAATTGTTGCTTGGTTCAACTGATATATTATTCTCCTGATATTCGTGGGCTTCTGTGTAGTGGGAGCTCGAGTACTGACTGAAGATCTAGAGTCGAACTGGTTCGGTGAATGCTGTACTCTGGATAGAAAAGCGAATGTTCGATCGGAATGACGATAACCACCCCAGACAACGCCATAAGTACTCATTGCGTGGATTCTGGCGAAGCGAAGTCGCATCATCGCTCGTCGTCGTGACGAGACCAGGCCAGAATAGGATGCTAGGTTCCCTAGGGACTGCTGGCTCTTAGCGGACTAGCAATGGCATCCAGGAAACCTCGAAATTGCCGACTACGCAAGGAACGATCTAGGGATTGCGTTGCCGAGCAGGTACAAGCGGGAAGTGAGTGGAGCGGATATTAGCGGAGTGGGGTGGTCTGGAGAAGATTTTAGCGATGTGAAGAGGCTTAGAGCGGGGTGGGGCAGAGGGGAGTGGTTTGGAGGGAGGGGGGAGGGGAACGTACCGGGGAAGGAAGGTTGCGCAAGACCTGAAAACTGTACGAAGGCAAAGCGTGCACACCGCTGCGCCGTGTCTTCCCCGCAACACAACTTTCCATCTCGCGTCGCGCCTTGCACAGTCGCCTACCACGGAGAGGTTCCCCCTCTCTGATTTTGCCGCTACAGTACCGTTCCACACCTCCTCCGAAAGGTCTCCCCCCTCCCGCTGACTGGGCGGACTGACCTGATTTTGCCGCTGCCAGGAAGGAGGGGTGGAACGGCAGAGGAAAAATTAGGTCAGGCTGCCCAGTCAGCGGGGTTTGGCAGGTTCGCTTGTGGGCGAAAGTTCCATTCGCTGGATGTTCGCATTATGGTTACTTGTTCCGCTCCTGCCTTCGGAGAACCGCCTGCTAGGGCTAACAGGTACACGAGAATGTGGTTACACTCTTCGTGATGTCCAGTCCAGCCACATTCCACCGAAAATTGTTGACTGGATGTTGTGGGCAGACCGTCAGCTTTTTTCTCGTACCTTGATTCGCGGGTGCCTCGTCTTGAAGTGCCAAGACTGACCAAAGACGAGTGTCCAAACTTGTTACAACACTTTCTTTACACATAGAACTCCATAAATCATGAACGACATTTGTAACCTCTTTCGCTTTAGCACATAATCGGATTTTTTTCGTTAGAAGCACCCTTATCCGTTATTGTGGATATGTAGATTCCTGCCTTTTCACCTCGTCTCTTCTGCTCCCTTTCTTTCCTTACCATTGACTTCACACAAGGGGGTCTTGATTAGGTGTTTAGGACTTGCTTTAGGTGTGTCCCCTAAACTAGTCTGCGGCACCTCCTTTTCCCTGAGGAACTCGTGTTTTTTGTTATCACAGTCCACATTCTGCTCCGCGTGTAGCAACCGCCGCGAACCCTAATCATGGAGGCTGCCATCGCGTGCACGACGAGCAGAGCCCTCGCTCCGTTAGTTCGCGGCGGTCCGTCAAGCGCGCCTCGAAGTTCGTTCTTGAAGGGATCAGCTCGAAATGACGTCTCGCGAGGCGCGTTTTTCGGGGAAAGCTCGGGCCTTGACGCCGGACAGCGATTGGTTCGAACCACGCCGAACCGAAGGAATCTAAGTACATTCTTCAACCATTTCCGAACCATTCTTTTAGCTCCTCTCGCGATCCTCCAGTCCGAAATTCCAGTTCGTACGCCCGCTTCCGCATTTTGAATGGCGTACGCGTCGTGTGGAATCGTCTTCAAACTAAACCTTCGATTATGAACACCTTAGTATCCTTCCTGCTCCCTTTGCCACAACTTACAGCTGTCCGTGCGGCGGGTAACACTTTCGGCACCGCATTTCGGGTTACCACATTCGGCGAATCGCACGGCGGAGGGGTAGGCTGCGTCGTCGACGGTTGCCCCCCGCGCCTGCCGCTCTCAGAGAAGGACCTGCAGGTCGACCTGGACAGGCGGTATGTGGCAATGCGGATAAACTTTGAATCTTAGTTAGTGTTAAGTTCCTTAATTCCACTCGATCCACGTCTGCTGCTCACAAAGAAGGACCTGCAGGTCGACCTGGACAGGCGGTATGTGGAAATGCGCATGGATTTGATTCTGGTTGAGGGTAAAGCTCTTTTCTTTGTTTGTTCTGTTTTGTTATGCGAATTTGAAACGCGAATGGGTCTGTTTACTGAGAAGAGCCTGCTCGTCTGGGTCGACCTGGACAGGCAGTATGTGAGACAGGCAGATAAGGCCGATAGAGACGGATTCTGAGCTTCATAAAATGCACCATTAGAGGTTCTTTTGTACTGATTACGAGGCGGGATGTGCGGCGAATAACTACCAGTCTTTCTTTCTCTCTCTCTCTCTCTCTCGCAATCTGCTTCTTTTCTCCCTGCCCTTCCCTCCCTCTGCGGTTCTTCTTAGGGCCAGTCAGTCCCGCATCACCACTCCCGGTAACAAGACAGACAGACAGACAGACAGACAGACAGACAGACAGACAGACAGACAGGCAGACAGACAGACAGGCAGGCAGACAGACAGACAGACAGACAGACAGACAGACAGACAGACAGACAGACAGACAGACAGACAGACAGACAGACAGACAGACAGACAGACAGACAGACAGACAGACAGACAGACAGACAGACAGACAGACAGACAGACAGACAGACAGACAGACAGACAGACAGACAGACAGACAGACAGACAGACAGACAGACAGACAGACAGACAGACGCGTGCCAGACTCGTGTTTTGAGTCACCTCACAGCATCCTTTTCCTTCCTCTCTCCCTTCCTCTACCCCTTCATTTGTCCCTGCCTTCCCCCCTTCTCCCAGTCTGCCGGGTCAGTCTCACTACCCACAAAGAGACAGACACACGTGCGGCGGGTTGGATTCGTGCTTCAATTCACCTCAAAACTTCCGTTTTCCTACCTCTCCCCATTTCTTTTCCCTTTTCTCTTACTCCCCTCCTCTCTCCCTGCTCCCTCTGGCAGTCAGTCGGCCGGGCCAGTCGCGCATCACCACCCTGCGCAAGCAAGGAGAGACAGACGCGTGTGCTCCGGGTCACCTTCGATTCAACCTCCCCCCCAAGTCAGCTCAATGATTGAGCCTCAATTCACCCGTCCCTTTCCTCTCCCTTCCTCTTCCCACCATGGCAGTCGGCCGGGCCAGTCGCGCATTACCACTCCGCGCAAGGAGACAGACACGTGCCGGATTCTGTCAGGCACTGCTGATGGTATGGCGTTTTGTGACGGAATGAGCTTTGTTGTTCTTTCTTTCCTTCTCTCAGTCCTTACTCCTCTCACTCTCCTCCTTGCTTTCCTCACTCTCCTCATTTCCCTCACTCTTCTCATTCTCCCTACTCTATCCTATCTTCTCACCTTCTCGATCTTCTCATTTTCCTCACCTCACAGAAATATTTTCACTCCTCCGTCCCTCCTCACTCTCTTGATTCTCGTGTCTCTCCTCCTCCCCGGTCATTGTCTGCAGGGGTGACGCTAGGAACGCCCATCGCGGTTCTCGTGCCAAACCAGGACCAGAGGGGAGGGGTGAGTCGTTGAGTCGCCTGCCTCTCTTCATCCCCCTCACTCTCATCACCCTCCTCACTCCTCCCCGGTCATTGTCTGCAGGGGTGACGCTAGGAACGCCCATCGCGGTTCTCGTGCCAAACCAAGACCAGAGGGGAGGGGTGAGTGGAAGAGATAAAAGGAGGGAGAGGGGTGAGTGGTGTTGTGTTGAAAAAGCTAGAAGAGATACATTGAATAATGAGCCAAGAGGCCCTTTAGTACAAACAATGAGCAAGAGAGAGATGAAAGGGAAGCTTACCCTATTGGCCAATAAGTTGGCCAATGGGTGAGCTTGCTTGTGACCCAAGCAACCACAAATGTGTGTTGGTTGGGATTGGTTGAGCTAGGGACCAATCCCAACCAACCACAAAATGTGGTTGGAGGGTACACTAAACAACCCCCCAATTTATAAGTGTACTACAGATCTAATTCTAGCCTATGTATGTTGTACAAATTATGAAATTACAACACAACCCCCCAACATGCATAAGGCTAGAAGGCTAGAATCAAGAGGCGGGAGACGACTTAGGAGGAGTGAGGCCAAGAAGACGAAGTAGGAAAGAGTGAGCGACATGAGGAAGAGCTTTTGTGAAGATGTCGGCAAGGTTGGCCGCCTGAACAAGATCGCGAATGAAGAAATGACGGAGCTCAATGTGCTTGGAACGCCCGTGAAACACGGCATCTTTGGTGAGGTGAATGGTATTGGCAGTGTCACACCAAATGGTGGGACAGCGCTGGGGGGCACCAAGTTCCTCAAGGAGGAAGGTGAGCCAGCGGGCCTCTTGCGCAGCCATGGTGGCGGCATACAACTCCGCCTCGCAGGAGGAGAGGGCGACAGCCGAGGAGCGGGTGGAGCGCCAGCTGATAAGGCCGCTGCCAAGAGAGAAGCCATAGCCCTGGGAGGAGCGACGATCTGGCTGGGAATCAGCCCAGGAGGAGTCACTGTAGCCGCTGAGGGTAGGTGGGGAGGGGCCGCCGAGGGTAAGGACATAGTCCTTGGTGCCACGAAGGTACCGGAGGACACGCTTGGCGGCCTGCCAGTGCTCTTCCGTATGCTTGCCTGCGCCAACAAAACGAGCGAGGACGCTGATGGGGTAGGCAAGGTCAGGGCGAGTGGAGACCATGGCGTACATGAGGGAGCCGATGAGCTCGGGATAAGGATGGGAGGAGGCTGAGGGGGAGGTGGGTGGAGAGAGGTGGTGCCCGACAGAAAGAGGAGTAGGTTGGGCGCCGCCGCGGACCATGTCAAACCGCTCCAAGACCTGCTGCAAGTAATGACCCTGGGAGAGAGAGATGGTGCGGGCGGAGCGATCGCGGGTGATTGTCATGCCCAGGTAATGCTGCAATTCGCCCAAGTCCTTGCACTTGAGACGGCTGCCCAACTCAGCCTTAACACGCTCCAACTCGCTGAGGTCGGCAGTGAGCAGAATCATGTCATCGACATAGACAAGGATGTAGAAGGGGGAGGGGGAGGCGCGGAGGAAGAGGCTGGCGTCAGAGCGGGAGGTGCGGAATCCAAGTTCAGCAAGGGTGGCGGCAAGCTTAGCATGCCACTCCCTCGGGGCCTGTCGGAGCCCATACACAGGGCGACGCAGCTGCCAGACAGAGTCCGCAGGGAAGGGAAGGTGAAAACCGGCAGGACGCTCCATGTAGATAAGCTCGCGGAGGACGCCTTGGAGGAAGGCGTTAGAGACGTCCATCGAGTGGATCTCCATATTGAGGCGAGCGGCGAGGTCGAGCACGGCGCGAACAGTAGCGGGCTTGGCAGTGGGGGAGAAGGTATCGAAGAAGTCAAAACCATACCGCTGCGTGAACCCCTTGGCGCAGTAACGAGCCTTGTAGACGGGCGGCTCCCCTGGCAGTTGTTTGACGCGAAACACCCACTTCCCCTTCACCACGTTCGTAGAGGAGGGAGGGCGAGGCACATCAACAAAGGAGGAGTTGGCGACAAAGGCCTCCAGCTCCTTGATAATGGCGGCGAGCCAGAGTGGGGCGTCGGGGCAAGCCATGGCCTCCTCATACGTGGTAGGGATGAAAACGGAGGGAGCAGAGGAGAATGCGAAGACAGGTGTCCCAGAAAGGTCGAAGGTGATGGGTAGAAGGGAAGGGTCACAGAGGTGGAGGTCAAGGAACTCCTCATGGGAGTCCTCAGAGAGGGAGGTGTGGAAGGAGCGGATGACCGTTGGTGCCGCTGGTGCTGCTGCACGTGCCGCTGCTGGTGCCGCTGCTGGTGCCGCTGCTGGTCCTGCTGCTGGTGCCGCTGCTGGTCCTGCTGCTGGTGCCGCTGCTGGTCCTGCTGCTGGTGCCGCTTTTGGTGACGCTGCTGGTGCCGCTGCTGGTGCCGCTGCTGGTCCTGCTGCTGGTGCCGCTGCTGGTCCTGCTGCTGGTGCCGCTGCTGGTCCTGCTGCTGGTGCCGCTGCTGGTCGTGCTGCTGGTGCTGCTGCTGGCGCCGCTGCTGGAGAGGTGGCGGCGGGGGCTGCTGCAGGGGGAGGTTGATGCAGAACAGCCTGGAAGAAGTGGTGAAGGAGAGGGGAGAGTGGGGGGAGGGTAGAGGTAGAGAGGGTAACAGGGGGCGGTGCACCAAGGATACTGTCTTGTGACCTGGTATGGGGGTACCGGGTTAGTACAGTGCGGGGAGGGGGGGAAGGACGAGTCGGCAGCGAGGGAGGTGAAGGAGGGGCGGGAGGGGCACTAGGAGAGGAATGTGTGGGGGAGACGGGAGAGGACAGAGGTTCCGGGTCAAATATATCACCAGACGAGGGAGGGGCACCGTGGGACGAGGACGACGGTGGGGGAGGGGGAGGGAGGATGGGGGGAGGAGGAAGTAGAGGGGGAGGGGTGGTGTCAGACCAGACAAGGGGACGGGGAAGACGGGGGAGTGGGTCAGTGGATGGGGGAGAGGAGTAGTAAGGAGTGGACTCATCAAAGACCACATCCCTACTGCGGAATAGACGACCTGAGGGGGGATGGAGGAAAAGGTAGTCAGGTGAGGAGGAGTTATGACCAAGAAAGATGCAGGGAAGGGTACGAGGGGCAAGCTTTCCCATAGAACGGGAGCGGTCAGCGGGGTGAAGAAGGACATAAGCCTTTGAGCCCCAGACACGAAGAGATGAGACATCAGGCTGCTTGTTCGTCCACAGCTCAGTGGGGGTGGTGGATGGGAGAAGAGGGTGAGGGTAAAGGTTAGTAAGCAGGGCGGCATGAAGGAGGGCGTAGCCCCACAGAGAAGGAGGGCAGGAGGCGTGGACAAGGAGACACCGGGCAGTTTTGGTGATCTCTCTAACATGACTTTCAGCCACACCGTTCTGCTGTGGGGAGTGAGGGAGGGTGTAAGTCTGAAGAATGCCATGAGACTGGCAATAGGAGGATATTTGGTTGTTAAGGAACTCACCACCACCATCAGAGTGAAGGCGGCGAACAGGGCGCCCAAAATGGGTGTTTGCTCGCTCGAGCCAGGCGATGATCGCAGCCGGGGCATCTGCCTTCGTCCGAAGGAGAGAGACGGACGAGTACCGACTGTGATCATCGACGAGTACGAGGAGGTATCGATGGCCCTGGCGAGTGGGAGAGGGATTGGGGCCCCAGAGGTCCATGTGAACAAGATCAAGTGGCTGAGCAGCAGCGGAGGGGGAGCTCCGGTGCGGCTGCTGCTTGAGCTTGCTCTGAACGCAGACGGTGCAGGGGGGGGCAGGGGATTTGGGGAGGGGAGGGAGGGAGGAGGGGAGACCGTGGAGGAGACCGGAGGAAACAGAGGAGCGTAGAGTAGCGAAGTTAGGGTGACCTAGCCTGTGATGGAGGAGGACGGCAGGGTGGGAGAGGGAGCGACAGGAGCAAGAGGAGTCAGGGGGGGGGCGTGAAGGGAGGTCCGGGTTAGTGGGAGGGAGAGGAGGGGGTGGGATGAGAGGGTGGAGGGGAGGACGAGAGATGACCTGACAGGAGGGGAGGCGAGGAACACGAAGGGTGTACAGACGGGAGCGAGGGCAAAATGGAATGCGAGAAATGAACTGACCGGTGGCGGAATGGTAGAGAGCGCAATAGTTAGCATAAGCTGGGAATACTGTGGTGATACCGGCTTGTTGAAGGGACCTTTGCGAGAGGAGATTAGCGCGAAGAGAGGGTATGTGGAGACCGGTGACAGTGCCTGAGGGGAAGAGTGGGCAGGGGAGAGTCGAGGTGTTATGGCAGGGGATAGAGAAGCTGCTATCGGCGCCAAGGAGGGAGGTAGGCGTTGGGAGGGGGCGCAAGGTGCCAGCATCGCGAAGAACTGTGTCAGTGGCGCCGCTGTCAAGGACAAAGTCGACAGTGGAGGGGAGGGAGGAGGAAGGGACAGAGGACTGGAACGCAGTTTCTTTAGTGCTAGAGGAGTATGTGGCAGGGGCAGCTGATGTGGCTTGATTGACCATACCAGCAATACCAACGGATGAGAGAGGTGGGACATTGCTTGAAGTGGCGGAGCTTGTGGAACAATGCGGAACTGAGTTCTGCTGGGAAGTTGGGGGAGGAGGAGGAAGAGGCAGCTGCGCTTGTAGGCTAAGGTGCTGCTGCAGGCGGTGAAGCAACTGCTGGAGCTGGAGGAGGAGGTGCCGGAGCTGCTGGTGCTGCTGCTGCTGCTGCTGCTGCTGCTGGTGCTGGTGCTGCTGCTGCTGCTGCTGCTGCTGCTGCTGGTGCTGCTGCTGCTGCTGCTGCTGCTGAGGAGGAGGAGAGAAGGGTGGACTCGGGGCATGGTGGGCTTGGGTGGAGATTTTGCACTGAAGTCCCCGAGTCGGGCCATAGCGAGGCACATATTCACGAGGAGAGAAGGCTGCTGCTGCGCCGCAGCCTGCGCTCAAACCCCTGATACCACAATATCCTGCGAGTCTCCCTTGACCACCACCACAGCTACCACTATGCCCTCCTCCATGCCCACCGGCACCACTTCTGCTGCATGCCAGGGCGACTATTGCCATGGAGGGAGCAATGTGAGTGTGGGCGGTTACGGCATGGCGCAGGCGAGCAGGGCATGAAGGTGTGCGGTATGCGTTTGCAAATGTGCGGTATGCCGGGGAGGTGGGCAGGGGGCGGACGAGGGGACGGGGGACAGCGAGCGGGGAAGGAGGGCGTGCGACGAGTGCGCGGACGGGGAGAGTGTGGACGTGAAGGACGGACGAGCAGAGCGCGCGGACGGGCAGGGCGCGGACGAGCAGGGCGCGCGGACGGGCAGGGCGCGGACGAGCAGGGCGTGCGGACGGGCAGGGCGCGGACGAGCAGGGCGTGCGGACGGGCAGGGCGCGGACGAGCAGGGCGTGCGGACGGGCAGGGCGCGGACGAGCAGAGCGCGCGGACGGGCAGGGTGCGGACGAGCAAGGCGTGCGGACGGGCAGGGCGCAGACGCGAAGGGCGGACGAGCAGGGCGCGCGGACGGGCACGGCGCGGACGAGCAGGGCGCGCGGACGGGCACGGCGCGGGCGAGCTGGGCGTGCGGACGTGCACGGCGCGGACGAGCAGGGCGTGCGGACGGGCACGGCGCGGACGAGCAGGGTGTGTGGACGGGCAGGGCGCGGACGAGCAGGGCGTGCGGACGGGCAGGGCGCGGACGAGCAGAGATGGGCGCGAAATGGTCAGATTTCAGCGCGGGAGATGCAGATCTGGTCGCGCGGAGGGCAGATCTGGGCGCGCGGAGGGCAGATCTGGGCGCGCGGAGTGCAGATCTGGGTGCGAAATGTTCAAATCTGGGCGCGGGAGGAGGAGATCTGGTGGCGCGGAATCCAGATCTGGGCGCGGAATGATCAGATCTAGGCGCGGGAGGAGTAGATCTGGTCGCAGGGAGTGCAGATCTGGGCGCTGGAGTTGCAGATCTGAGCGCGGGGAATGCAGATCTGGGCGCTGGAGTTGCAGATCTGGACGTGCCTTGGAGGGCAGCGCCTTAGGGGGCGCACGGGGAGGGAGGACAGCGCCTTAAGGGTGCGTGAAGGGAGGGCAGCTCCGTGGGTGGGGCTAGATCTGAGGAACGGGGAGGAGTAGATCTGAGCTCGGGAGGAGTAGATGTGAGCTCGGGAGGAGTAGATGTGAGCTCGGGAGGAGTAGATCTGAGCTCGGGAGGAGTAGATCTGAGCTCGGGAGGAGTAGATCTGAGCTCGGGAGGAGTAGATGTGAGCTCGGGAGGAGTAGATCAAAGCTTGAGAGGAGTAGATCTGAGCTTGGGAGCACCGTAGTAGGACTAGGTCTGAGGGACGGGGAGGAGAGGGTGGCCTTAGGATCGAGGGATTAAGGCGTGAGCCAATAGCTCATGATACCATGTTGAAAAGCTAGAAGAGATACATTGAATAATGAGCCAAGAGGCCCTTTAGTACAAACAATGAGCAAGAGAGAGATGAAAGGGAAGCTTACCCTATTGGCCAATAAGTTGGCCAATGGGTGAGCTTGCTTGTGACCCAAGCAACCACAAATGTGTGTTGGTTGGGATTGGTTGAGCTAGGGACCAATCCCAACCAACCACAAAATGTGGTTGGAGGGTACACTAAACAACCCCCCAATTTATAAGTGTACTACAGATCTAATTCTAGCCTATGTATGTTGTATAAATTATGAAATTACAACAAGTGGAAGTGAGGAACAGGGTGGGAAGGAGTGTGTGGAAGAGAGGAGGAGCAGAAGGGGAAAGGGTTTGTTGAAGAGAGGAGCAGAGGGGGAAGGGGTACGTTGAAGAGAGGAGCAAAGGTGGGTGAAATTCTCTTAACACCGTAAATCCCATGAATTTCTCGTCATCATTCCCCAATCCCCCACCCCTCATCCCCCTTCCACCAACCCCTTTCAGGACTACTCTGAGATTGCAGTGGCCTACCGTCCTTCAACCAACTCCCACCCCCTTGCACCACGCCCCACCCCTTTCAGGACTACTCTGAGATTGCAGTGGCCTACCGTCCTTCAACCAACCCCCACCCACTTGCACCACGCCCCACCCCATTCAGGACTACTCTGAGATTGCAGTGGCCTACCGTCCTTCAACCAACTCGCACCCCCTTGCACCACGCCCCACCCCATTCAGGACTACTCTGAGATTGCAGTGGCCTACCGTCCTTCAACCAACTCCCACCCCCTTGCACCACGCCCCACCCCATTCAGGACTGCTCTGAGATTGCTGTGGCCTACCGTCCTTCAACCAACTCCCACCCCCTTGCACGACGCCCCACCCCATTCAGGACTACTCTGAGATTGCAGTGGCCTACCGTCCGTCCCACGCTGATGCAACGTACGACTTCAAGTATGGCGTGCGAGCCATTCAGGTGAGGAGGAGGAGGAGGGATGAAGAATGAGCTATTCGGGTGAGGAGGAGGAGATACATCTAGTTGCTTTCCGTCCTTCCCACGCCGATGCAACATACGACTTGAAGCATTGGCGTGCGAGCCATTCAGTTGAGAAGGAGGGATGAGACGTCTTAAAACTGGCTTTCCTTCCCACGCCGATGCAACGTGCGACTTCAAGTACGGCGTGCGAGTCATTCAGTTGAGACTTGAAGAAGTGGCTTCTGAGTCGACATGCCCCTTCTGAGTCGACTCAAAAGTGACCTTCTGGCAAGGTCACCTTGCCGTCCGTTGCCGATGCAGCATTCGACTTCAATCATGTCGAGCGACCGACCCATTCAGGTGTGACGAGTGAAGTTTTGAGACGTCTCAAAACATTTAACTTCAATCATGTCGAGCGACCGACCCATTCAGGTGAGTAAAGCGGGAAAAAAATCAGAGCCATTTATAACAGACTGTCGAAGATTGAATAATTCAAATGGGGAGGAGAGGAGCCTTCGATTCGCTGTGCCTTGGATTGGAGTATGTGTCTTGAAACGCATGTCTTACAGTTAGTTAGGAGGCGTTCCAAAACCCGTACTCATTGAAGCAAGCACATGCGTTACTCAATCCAGCTCAAGCAGCCAATGAGCAAATTATGTTTTTTGAGAATTCTAAAAAAAAAATCTTAAAAGAATTCTGAAAAAAACATGCGCTCAATCCAGCTGGAGCAGCCAATGAGCAAATTCCCGCAAAGCACTTCCCATCCCACCCACCCACCGCCGCTCTCCTCTTTTGAGGCGCCTCAAAGTTCCCTAAGCACTTCCCACCCACCGCCGCTCTCCTCTTCTCCCTCCCTCTCCTACCCCCCTCCCTCCCATTCCCACTTCCTACAAACCTCACAACACGCTTCCCCCACGCAATCAGGGAGGAGGCAGGTCGTCAGCTCGTGAGACTATTGGTCGAGTGGCGGCCGGTGCAATTGCCAAGAAGCTTCTGGCCCTCCACTCAGGCACTGACGTAAGCTGCTGCTGTTGTCTTTCTCTCTCTAACAAAGCTGGTCGCCTCAGCAGTTGTTTGTAAGTTTCTAGCTGATCTTCTGGCTGGCATGGCTTGTCTTATCTGTGTTGATGGCCTCACCAGGTGCTCTTGTGTGTGGGTCACAAGACCAGAGCACCATGTGAACCTGCCTGGGGTCTCGCTCTCTCTGTCTCTCCCCTTCAATCTCTTCTCCACTACCCCTCCTCCACTCCCCCTTTCTTTTTCCCTCGTCCCCCACTCCCCACTCTCTCGTTATCTCTCCCTTTTCCACCAGGTGCTCGCGTTTGTGTCACAAGTGTAGTTTTGAGGCGCCTCAAAACTATCTCTCTCTCCCTTTTCCACCAGGTGCTCGCGTTTGTGTCACAAGTGCACCACGTGGACTTGCCAGAGGATGCTGTCGACCTCGATACAGTCACACTGGATCAGGTGGGTGGGAGTATAGTGAAGGAAGGGGGGGGAGGGGCATTGGGTTGCAATCAGAGCGAAGTGAGCCCTCACAGCAAATCATCGATATGATTGATGCTGTGAGGGTGATTTTGAGAATTCTCAAAATCAACCACAGCAAATCATCGATATGATTGATGCTGTGAGGGTGATTTTGAGAATTCTCAAAATCAACCACAGCAAATCATCGGTACGATTGATGCTGTGAGGGTGATTTTGAGAATTCTCAAAATCAACCACAGCAAATCATCGGTACGATTGATGCTGTGAGGGTGATTTTGAGAATTCTCAAAATCAACCACAGCAAATCATCGATATGATTGATGCTGTGAGGGTGATTTTGAGAATTCTCAAAATCAACCACAGCAAATCATCGGTACGATTGATGCTGTGAGGGTGATTTTGAGAATTCTCAAAATCAACCACAGCAAATCATCGATATGATTGATGCTGTGAGGGTGATTTTGAGAATTCTCAAAATCAACCACAGCAAATCATCGATATGATTGATGCTGTGAGGGTGATTTTGAGAATTCTCAAAATCAACCACAGCAAATCATCGATATGATTGATGCTGTGAGGGTGATTTTGAGAATTCTCAAAATCAACCACAGCAAATCATCGATACGATTGATGCTGTGAGGGTGATTTTGAGAATTCTCAAAATCAACCACAGCAAATCATCGATATGATTGATGCTGTGAGGGTGATTTTGAGAATTCTCAAAATCAACCACAGCAAATCATCGATACGATTGATGCTGTGAGGGTGATTTTGAGAATTCTCAAAATCAACCACAGCAAATCATCGATATGATTGATGCTGTGAGGGTGATTTTGAGAATTCTCAAAATCAACCACAGCAAATCATCGATATGATTGATGCTGTGAGGGTGATTTTGAGAATTCTCAAAATCAACCACAGCAAATCATCGATATGATTGATGCTGTGAGGGTGATTTTGAGAATTCTCAAAATCAACCACAGCAAATCATCGATATGATTGATGCTGTGAGGGTGATTTTGAGAATTCTCAAAATCAACCACAGCAAATCATCGATATGATTGATGCTGTGAGGGTGATTTTGAGAATTCTCAAAATCAACCACAGCAAATCATCGATACGATTGATGCTGTGAGGGTGATTTTGAGAATTCTCAAAATCAACCACAGCAAATCATCGGTACGATTGATGCTGTGAGGGTGATTTTGAGAATTCTCAAAATCAACCACAGCAAATCATCGGTACGATTGATGCTGTGAGGGTGATTTTGAGAATTCTCAAAATCAACCACAGCAAATCATCGGTACGATTGATGCTGTGAGGGTGATTTTGAGAATTCTCAAAATCAACCACAGCAAATCATCGATACGATTGATGCTGTGAGGGTGATTTTGAGAATTCTCAAAATCAACCACAGCAAATCATCGATACGATTGATGCTGTGAGGGTGATTTTGAGAATTCTCAAAATCAACCACAGCAAATCATCGGTACGATTGATGCTGTGAGGGTGATTTTGAGAATTCTCAAAATCAACCACAGCAAATCATCGGTACGATTGATGCTGTGAGGGTGATTTTGAGAATTCTCAAAATCAACCACAGCAAATCATCGGTACGATTGATGCTGTGAGGGTGATTTTGAGAATTCTCAAAATCAACCACAGCAAATCATCGGTACGATTGATGCTGTGAGGGTGATTTTGAGAATTCTCAAAATCAACCACAGCAAATCATCGGTACGATTGATGCTGTGAGGGTGATTTTGAGAATTCTCAAAATCAACCACAGCAAATCATCGGTACGATTGATGCTGTGAGGGTGATTTTGAGAATTCTCAAAATCAACCACAGCAAATCATCGATACGATTGATGCTGTGAGGGTGATTTTGAGAATTCTCAAAATCAACCACAGCAAATCATCGATATGATTGATGCTGTGAGGGTGATTTTGAGAATTCTCAAAATCAACCACAGCAAATCATCGATATGATTGATGCTGTGAGGGTGATTTTGAGAATTCTCAAAATCAACCACAGCAAATCATCGATATGATTGATGCTGTGAGGGTGATTTTGAGAATTCTCAAAATCAACCACAGCAAATCATCGATACGATTGATGCTGTGAGGGTGATTTTGAGAATTCTCAAAATCAACCACAGCAAATCATCGGTACGATTGATGCTGTGAGGGTGATTTTGAGAATTCTCAAAATCAACCACAGCAAATCATCGGTACGATTGATGCTGTGAGGGTGATTTTGAGAATTCTCAAAATCAACCACAGCAAATCATCGGTACGATTGATGCTGTGAGGGTGATTTTGAGAATTCTCAAAATCAACCACAGCAAATCATCGATATGATTGATGCTGTGAGGGTGATTTTGAGAATTCTCAAAATCAACCACAGCAAATCATCGGTACGATTGATGCTGTGAGGGTGATTTTGAGAATTCTCAAAATCAACCACAGCAAATCATCGGTACGATTGATGCTGTGAGGGTGATTTTGAGAATTCTCAAAATCAACCACAGCAAATCATCGATACGATTGATGCTGTGAGGGTGATTTTGAGAATTCTCAAAATCAACCACAGCAAATCATCGATACGATTGATGCTGTGAGGGTGATTTTGAGAATTCTCAAAATCAACCACAGCAAATCATCGATATGATTGATGCTGTGAGGGTGATTTTGAGAATTCTCAAAATCAACCACAGCAAATCATCGATACGATTGATGCTGTGAGGGTGATTTTGAGAATTCTCAAAATCAACCACAGCAAATCATCGGTACGATTGATGCTGTGAGGGTGATTTTGAGAATTCTCAAAATCAACCACAGCAAATCATCGATATGATTGATGCTGTGAGGGTGATTTTGAGAATTCTCAAAATCAACCACAGCAAATCATCGGTACGATTGATGCTGTGAGGGTGATTTTGAGAATTCTCAAAATCAACTGCAGCAAATCATCGATATGATTGATGCTGTGAGGGTGATTTTGAGAATTCTCAAAATCAACCACAGCAAATCATCGATATGATTGATGCTGTGAGGGTGATTTTGAGAATTCTCAAAATCAACCACAGCAAATCATCGATATGATTGATGCTGTGAGGGTGATTTTGAGAATTCTCAAAATCAACCACAGCAAATCATCGATATGATTGATGCTGTGAGGGTGATTTTGAGAATTCTCAAAATCAACCACAGCAAATCATCGATATGATTGATGCTGTGAGGGTGATTTTGAGAATTCTCAAAATCAACCACAGCAAATCATCGATATGATTGATGCTGTGAGGGTGATTTTGAGAATTCTCAAAATCAACCACAGCAAATCATCGATACGATTGATGCTGTGAGGGTGATTTTGAGAATTCTCAAAATCAACCACAGCAAATCATCGATACGATTGATGCTGTGAGGGTGATTTTGAGAATTCTCAAAATCAACCACAGCAAATCATCGATACGATTGATGCTGTGAGGGTGATTTTGAGAATTCTCAAAATCAACCACAGCAAATCATCGATACGATTGATGCTGTGAGGGTGATTTTGAGAATTCTCAAAATCAACCACAGCAAATCATCGATACGATTGATGCTGTGAGGGTGATTTTGAGAATTCTCAAAATCAACCACAGCAAATCATCGATACGATTGATGCTGTGAGGGTGATTTTGAGAATTCTCAAAATCAACCACAGCAAATCATCGATACGATTGATGCTGTGAGGGTGATTTTGAGAATTCTCAAAATCAACCACAGCAAATCATCGGTACGATTGATGCTGTGAGGGTGATTTTGAGAATTCTCAAAATCAACCACAGCAAATCATCGGTACGATTGATGCTGTGAGGGTGATTTTGAGAATTCTCAAAATCAACCACAGCAAATCATCGATACGATTGATGCTGTGAGGGTGATTTTGAGAATTCTCAAAATCAACCACAGCAAATCATCGATATGATTGATGCTGTGAGGGTGATTTTGAGAATTCTCAAAATCAACCACAGCAAATCATCGATACGATTGATGCTGTGAGGGTGATTTTGAGAATTCTCAAAATCAACCACAGCAAATCATCGATACGATTGATGCTGTGAGGGTGATTTTGAGAATTCTCAAAATCAACCACAGCAAATCATCGATACGATTGATGCTGTGAGGGTGATTTTGAGAATTCTCAAAATCAACCACAGCAAATCATCGATACGATTGATGCTGTGAGGGTGATTTTGAGAATTCTCAAAATCAACCACAGCAAATCATCGATACGATTGATGCTGTGAGGGTGATTTTGAGAATTCTCAAAATCAACCACAGCAAATCATCGATACGATTGATGCTGTGAGGGTGATTTTGAGAATTCTCAAAATCAACCACAGCAAATCATCGATACGATTGATGCTGTGAGGGTGATTTTGAGAATTCTCAAAATCAACCACAGCAAATCATCGATACGATTGATGCTGTGAGGGTGATTTTGAGAATTCTCAAAATCAACCACAGCAAATCATCGATACGATTGATGCTGTGAGGGTGATTTTGAGAATTCTCAAAATCAACCACAGCAAATCATCGGTACGATTGATGCTGTGAGGGTGATTTTGAGAATTCTCAAAATCAACCACAGCAAATCATCGGTACGATTGATGCTGTGAGGGTGATTTTGAGAATTCTCAAAATCAACCACAGCAAATCATCGATATGATTGATGCTGTGAGGGTGATTTTGAGAATTCTCAAAATCAACCACAGCAAATCATCGATATGATTGATGCTGTGAGGGTGATTTTGAGAATTCTCAAAATCAACCACAGCAAATCATCGATATGATTGATGCTGTGAGGGTGATTTTGAGAATTCTCAAAATCAACCACAGCAAATCATCGATATGATTGATGCTGTGAGGGTGATTTTGAGAATTCTCAAAATCAACCACAGCAAATCATCGATATGATTGATGCTGTGA